GGGCGGGTGGCAGAGCTCAGAAAGGCTCGCGGCGCCCACGGAGGGAGACGGTCCCCGCAGGGTGTGCACACGGTGGGTAGCTACCTTCAAGTCCTGTTGCAACATCCAGGTAGCTCATCCCTTCCTTCTTATAGCCTATGTTTGCAGTCAGCTGAGCGTACTGGTCATCATCTATGGGCATTCCATTATCTTCCAGGACCTGACAGGAAGACAAGTGGGCAAGAGGTGGTTAGGTCGTCCTGGGGGCCATGCCTGGCCGAGTCCCTCCGCCCCCGCAGGGGGCTCATCACCATGGCCCCTGGCTTCAGCCTGTGATTGTTACTTGTCTGTCCCCGCCCACAGGCTCCCTCGGGTGGGGCCCAGGTGCCCTGGGCCCCTGGACCAGTACAAGGCTTGTTTGTTGAGCAAGTGAGTGAACAAAGGAACAGGTGGGCACCCAGCCTGGGGCTGGTTGGCATGGCATTTGGGGCTGGAGTCAGCACTGCAGGCCTTGCCAGAGCCGGGACCATGCAAGGGACCGAAATTCACATTTGCTGTGACTACAATGCCTTTTGAGTCTCCTAAGTTAGATTTCTACTCACACACATCCTAGGAAACATGAACAAAATAAAGCAACACAGTTTGAGGAGGGAAAACTAAAATTTTGATTAAAGTTTCATTATGGTCCACAGCTCAAATTGCAAACTGTGTTTTTTTGGGGGGGGGCGTGGGAGGGGAACCCACGGCCCTTCTTTTTTTTCTCCTTAGCCAAATCGGCTCACTGGAAGTTATCCATGATCCCCTTGCTCCGTGACACATAACCTGCTGCTCACGAAGGGTTTTTGTTTTGTGTGTGGGGGGATGGGGGGCAACTGAGGAAACACACTTCCTCGCATTGCACGGTGAGGCAGAATCACCCAGATGATACTGCCCCAGGAGGTGGGCTGGGCGGTTCAAAGGGCAGACTGCAAATGGCCAGTCAACCTGCCTGGAGGTGAGCCCCCCCACCAAAGGGTTCCTGGGGGGACACACAGGGAACAGAAGACACCATCCCTGCTGCTCTCAAAGTATTCACAGCTTAAAAGACAAAACATGTTTTTTCTTCTAGAAAAAGGTCATAAAATCACAGTTCAAAATGTGTCTATGTGTCTAAGGGCCAAAGACGTCAAGGATGATGAATGGGAGGATAGAGTAAGATAGTATACATCACTATCACCTCATCACCACCATCACCATCACCACCATCACCATCACCATCACCATCATCACCATCACCATCACCATCACCACTATCACCATCACCGTCACCCTCTTCATCACCATCATCACCATCACCACCATCTTCTTCATCATCTTCATCATCACCATCATCATCACCACCATCTTCTTCATCATCTTCATCATCACCATCATCATCACCACCATCTTCTTCATCATCTTCATCATCACCATCATCATCACCACCATCTTCTTCATCATCTTCATCATCACCATCATCATCACCACCATCTTCTTCATCATCTTCATCATCACCATCATCATCACCACCATCTTCTTCATCATCTTCATCATCACCATCACGGAACGATGCTTATCACCTGCTCTGTGCCAGGCCTCGTGCTGAGTTCTTCACAGGCATTCCGTAAGCCTCATTTAGCCCTTATCATAAACCATTCTTACTAACCCCATTTTAAAGATGTGGAAACAGTGGCTTAGAGAGTTTAGGTGACTTGCCCCCGTCGCATTGTTAGGAAATGACAGAGCTAGGGTTCAAACCCAGTTCTTCTTCTTAACCACTATGATGAACTCCACGACTGGAATAAGGTCACTGGGGCTGGAAGCGGGGAAGGTCTCCATCGTGGCGCCCTGGCGCCCTCGCATGTGTCCAGGTTGGCCACGCAGGCAGAGGCTAATTTGGGTCTTGGCAGAACACCTGGAGAAACTCCTAGAACACCAAAGATGGGAGCCTCTAGGAGCTTCTATGAGGCCATCCCCCGGGGAGGCCATCATGGACAGTTTCTCCGCCCCTCCCAGGTTCTAAGAGGCATGGAGCCTTGCGCCCCGGCCTCCTCAGACTGGAACTGCAGAATATAAGCCCATGTAGCTGCAACAGGGCACCCGCACCTGCAGTGCGGTTACCCGCTCCTTGTGCTCTGCTGTCATCCTTTTCGGTGTGTGGGGCGAGGACCACGGAGCTGGCACCTTTGTCTGTCTATGTCAGTGACAGACTGAATGTGACCGTGGCTCCTTGTACCTGCACTGGCCCAGCTGGTCAGGCCCTGGCTGGCCTTGTGCGTGTGAGCTGAAGCTAACAAGCTGCTGGATAGGCTGTGTCTGGTGCAGGAACAGGAGCCGAGGGAGGCGGGGCGGGGGGGGGTGTGTGTGCAGGTGCTGCGTGTGGCCTGGGGGCCTCCCGGGGAGCAGCGCCGGATTCCCGGACCATGCCAAGGGCCTGCGGGGGAACTGGGGCAGGCAGCGCGTGACTGGGCATTCCGGCAGCCCTGTGCCATCTGCACACGTGCCCCATCCCAGCTCTGTGGAGGAGTCTGTCCCACTCCAGGATGGGCACGTGTTCAGACAGAAAGCTGTGGCCCCATGGCAGCAGCAGTGGTGGGTCTCTGAAGCGGATAGATTGGTTGCTTCCTTTGACAAATAACTTTTTATTTTGAAAACAATTACACATGAATTATTCATCGCAAATTCCTCCTGCTTAGTTCTTTCATAAAAACATATGTACTGGAGAGTAAGAAAATGTCTGTAGGCAAATGTTTCGCTGCCTGGAGGGCTGTGAAGCACCAGGGAGGCGCGGTGGGCCTCCGGCAGCCTGGCCGGTGGTTCAGGCGTGCAGTCCCGTCGGCACCAAGCAGAGCGCCGTCACAAAGGATGCAAAACCCAGGGAGGGCGAGCAGCAGGAGAGGCACGGAGCAGCCAGCAAACATCAGTGCCTCCTTCTAATGGCTCCCCGCTCTGCGCTCTGCTCTCATGTTCACCAGGAACACACCGGTGAGTCAACCAGATTTATCACAACCCTCGGAGGCAATTCGCAATAGAATGTAAGGCTAAACTGCAATATTTATAAAACAAAATAAAGAAATTCCTCGAAGAGGCACAAACGGTGGCCTGGCATATTCTGACCCACCAAATAGTCTCTCTGCATCCCGGGACGTCACTAAGCATGTAGGCGCGCTCTTCCTTGTGAGGGCATGCTATTTCATGGAATCCTTGCGAAGGATTCCATCTGGTGAAGACAGGTGCTCGCTCATAGGCGCCCATCGGCTGGAAGTTGAGGGAGCGACAGTCTCTCTAAGCCCAGCTACGGCAGAACCCCCCGAGGGGGTGAAAGAGCCACCCTCAGACCCCGGGTGAGGAAGACCGGTTTGCTGGACCTCGGCGTCACGGTTTGGGTGGTTGTTCTAAGGCTTACAGTATATTCCCTTAACTTTCCACAGTCTGTTTGGTTAATAATACTTAACCGCTTCAGAGAAAGTGCAGAAACCTTGCAACCACATAAGTCTTTACTGGGCTCATGTCCTTCATGCTACAGTGGTCATTTGTCTCACATCTACCTGGCATATTATAAACCCACAAAACAATGTTATAATGTTTGCCTTAAACACTCTTACATATTTTTTAAATTAAGAAAAAATAGCCTTTACATTTAATCGGATAGTTACCATTCCCAATGTTCTTTCTTCTTTCGTGAACACCTGGGTCTCCACCTAGCATCAAATTCCTTCAGCCTGAAGAACTTCCTTTATCATTTCTTAGAGTGAAGATCTGCTTATGATAAGTTATCTTTTTGTTTTTTATCTGAAAACATATTTATTTAACCTTCACTCATAAAGGAGACATTTGCTGGATGTAAATTCTAGGTGGAGGGACTTTTTGTTTTCTTCTCAGCATGTTAACGTTGTCCCACTATCTCTGGCCTCCACTGTTCTAATGAGCGGTAAATGGTGGTTTGAAACCTTGTTCCCCTGTTTATGTGACATTGTTCACATGCTACTTGTAAGATTTCTCTCTTTGATTTTGGTTTTCAGCACTGTGTCCACGATTTTCTTTGTGTTTATCCTGCTTGGGTTTTCTGAGCTCGTGAACCTTCCCCCACAAATTGAGATAGCTCGGTCATGATTTCCCGACATATGTCCTCTTACTTAGTCTTCCCGTCCTTCCACGACTCCAATTATTCCCATGCTAGACCTTCTGGTGTTGTTCGCATGTCCCCAGGACACTGCTCTTTTCTCAGCCTTCTTTTTCTTCTTCAGTTTCTATAACTTCTGTTGATCTACCTTCAAGCTCATGGGCTCTCCCTTTTGTCATCTCCATTCTGTGGTTAAACCCATTTGGTGAATTTTTTAATTTCAGATATTTTATTTTTCAGTTCTAGAATTTCCACTTGGTTCTTTTCATAGATTTTATTTCTCTGCTGAGATTTCCTATATTTTCATTCATGATGAGTACATTTTCCTTTACATCACCGAGCATAGTTATAATAGTTGCTCTAAAGTCTTCAAGTGTAAATTCTAACATCTGGATCATCTCAGAATCTTTTCTCTTGGGAAATGTCATGTTTTCCGATCTCTGTACATTTAGTAATTTTGGATTGTATCCTAGACATTGTGAATGTTATGGTGTGGAGGCTCTGGATGTTATTATATTTCTCTAAAGGGTGTTGATTTTTGGTTTGTTCATTTGTCTGAGCAGGCAGTAGACTTGGTTGGACTCAGACTGAAAAAGACTATCTGTTGGGAAGCAGTTTAAAATCTCAATTCTTTTATTCTTTTATCCTTAACTAGGTTACTTGCAATCTGCCCTGCTCTTGTGTGGTTCATGGTCAGCCAGAGATTTGGGCAGAATTTATACAAAGAATTTGGAGCACCCACTTTCTGTCTCTCTCCTTTTTTTTTATTTTCCAGTGGCATTAGTTGTCCAGGCCTCTCTGTCTGCCCTCTAGTTCTTTAGGACAGAAACACCATTGGTTTTCTATCGGTGTTTTTTGTTTGTTTGTTTTTGTTTTTAAATCTGCCCTACTTAAGCATTTGCTCAGGTGAAAAGCTGTAAAAAATGGGAACCTCACCCCATGTTATTCCCATCTTCCAAGAGTTGGCTCCCTTCAAGAATCTGGTCGCTTAGTTTCACTTTACAGGGCTTTAAGGTACTTGGTTATTTATTTATTTACTTGTGAATTTAACACTGTCCAGTGTTGATAGTTGATATCTC